ATAACTCTCTCAAAACAGGTTAAGTATTAAGGGGATTATTACTCACTCTCCCCTCCCCCATAGGTGCCCATGGTAGTCAGTTATTCGTATACATTCAGACAATTCAATCCTACTTGGCTCCTCCATTGACCATGACGTTTGGTCTGGCTATACTGTGGCCTGGTTTGACTAAGGCAGGTGCATTATCTGGACTTATCATCGGTCTTATCATGGGACTAATGAAGTTTATCTTTGGCAACATCTATCCTCCCCCTGGGTGTGGATCAGAGGACAATAGACCCTCATTTGTCAAACTACACTTCTTGTGGTATGGTAAGTGATAGCCAATAAAATTCATTACTGAAAAAGCCATTGCACATTGACTTATTGACTTAATGACACGCAAAAATTTATGTGCAAAGAATTTTTAGGAATTAAACAGTGGCTGAAGAGATGTTGCTACAGCTAATGTACATTTTATTGAAAAAACAAAACTTTTTACCAATTGCCTTCAAATACAACATTGGCACCCATCTAATAGAGTCAAATATTACATTATTTACTACTGTTGTTCACAGCATTGGTTATATTTGGTGTGTGCGGCATTGTTGAGGTGGTTGTCAGCATGTTCACAAGTAAAGTGCCACGTGAAGAGTTAGGTGGGTTGACATGGCCAACCATCAATGACCGTCCAATATCCCATGGAGCCATAGGTGAAGAGGGATTATCATCTGCTCATGGAGGAAACACGTATGAGTTGTCTCAGGTTGGACAAGAAATGGAAACTGGTAAGTACACACAGAAGACCAGCCAATAAATCCATAATATTATTTGCCAGCATTTTAGTGTGTATACGCATTTATWCTCTCTTTTAAAATTCCTGAGAAAGCCCACTTACTATAACTTTATTGAACGATTTCCAGAAATTATGTCACGATTAGAAAGTTACAGGGAAAATAATGCAGTTTAAGTCCATAAACTTTCACTCATCTTTGTAAAACTCATTTGTCCRTCTATGCTTTGGCCCCAAAAGTGTTAGCCTTCCTTTGCCTGTKGGAAATTCCATATTTATTGCTAAAAAAGATATTTTTTTATAAATACTCATTTTCTAGTTCTGTGTGAATAACTKCCGTTTAATAATWATTGACAACAGACTCTGTGGCTCAAGAACCTCTTTACCAAAAACAAAACAAAACTACAGTAAACAAATTATGTGATTACAATATCCCTCAAAACAGGCATTGTATTCTGAAAAACAAAATTAAGGTTCAAAAACCTTTTGGGAATACAGAGTTATAGCATCCACTTCCAACTGAAAAAGAGATTATTTTGCCTTTTTATAATCCACTAGGAATAATCATTGACAATACAACTACTGGAGAAGGTGAGAACTGCATAAAGTTCAAAGGTAAAACAGAAGATGACAACATCAAAACTCTACGGTACCTTGATGTAGTACCATTTGCTGAAGAAACACCCCTTCAAAAGTGGGCCTTAAGGGTGTCAACTGTGTTAGTATTGTGTGTACTGGTCTTTCTGTGGGTGTACTATAGATAGACTGTCAAGACAACTACCAAAAGAAAACAACTTGCAGGCATTTTGAATGTCCAATCTGTCAGTGTCAGTGAATTGTTATCTATAATCTATGAGCTTGCTGTTATTGAAAATGTTACTAGAAAGTGTACAATAAACTGTATGATTATAGATAAGAAGCTATCTTAACTATTAGTTATTTTATTTATTAGTTATTGTATTTATTAGTTATTAGTCTATTATTGAAATAGTACGGTGGCCCTGAAGTGACAACAGCTTAAATCTAGTTCACTATTTTGTTATCRTTTTGAGTTGCTAGTTACAATCATGGTTTTGGAATACAAATGTATATTCTTCTGTTACGGGCATGTGGACCATATGTAGGTCATTAGTAAAATTATTAAGCCACAGGTAGCCCAAACTTAATATCAGAGRATGGTTAGATCAGTGAACCCATTATGTCATCATCCTCTAATGCAATAAATTTGGGGTATCTGTGCCTTGRTAAATTTTGYCCATGCATCTGTACCCATAGATACATGTAGTACTAACTGTTTCATGTGGGAATATCGCACTTTTTTTAGGAAAGCATCAAAAAATTAAAATGTATGTGATATGCATCTAAAGTGTACATAAATTTGACAAAAGTTACAAATCTGCTGTAACAAATGAAATACTGTAGGTCAAGATTGGGCATCCTGTGTCTATCCATGGGGCCTGGTACAGTGCATAACCAGCCACCAAAGTTGGTTGGAATTTTGTATTGTTTACTGTATCTACTAGTGTCAACTGTTATCAATTTTAGTTTAAGACAATATGATAACATGAAGTTTAATGGTTCATACTTTCCTTCACTGGAAGTCATGGTTCTGCTTAAGGGTGTTCTTGGAATTGTTAATTTTGGTAATAAACCTCTTGAAAAGACAACTTGCATGTCATACAAAGGCCTTTCTCTTCTATTTTCGCTCTAATATACACATGTAGTGTTTAAGTGACACSCTTCTATTTGGTCATTTCCTTTTTTGAACAAAATGTCTGTTCCATATGTGTTACCGTTATTCTAATCAAATGTCGCTTTTGTCCTGTTTTGGATCAACAATGCTTAGGCAGTGGTCCATAAAGTCTGTAAATATAGGTTCATTTAGAGCAGTTCTTAGCATTKTTGGGGGATCTTCTGCATTGTCAATGCCAGAAAGAATTGTTCTTAAATCCTTGTTTTTTAGCATACCTTTTATCATGTCACATTTGCCTGCAAAATAAAAAAAAGAATAAAATAAAGATTAGGGTTGTACCATGAATATAGTCCTTTTTTTAATCCACTATTTAAATGTAGTTACCTAGTTTTTCTAAGTCATTTGGTGACAACCTGTCTTCATCTTCAGAATCATCATCGTTATCATCATGATCATCTCTGTCTTTTATTTGGACTTCTTTTGATTGATTGTTGTGTAACTTTGTCAGTCTTTTATTTGTTTCTATCTCACATAACTGATCTATTAAGCAATAAAATTATTGTTAGGYTAGCTTATTTTTACATGTAAACTTGAAGCTTGAGGCTTGGGTTTTGGATTTCAGTAAACTTAAACGTTTATTGCGCGTGTACACATGTACTCTCACCTTTATGAGTCTTGAAACATGTCAACGAACAACTAGAAGGAAATGATATAATCAGTATATCACTGGGAAAAAAACAATTACGTTCACAAGTTCAWAATTATGATAAAATGTAAGCTTTATACATGTACAACAAGTTTCTCTACACGTGGTCGTTCAACTTACTATAATAAGTAACAAGAAGGACATTTGTATTTTGATGAACACTTATCACAGATCTGACACAACTTCGTTACTTCTCCGCCCTTCATTTCCAAGTAACCTTTAGATTTCCAAGACAATTTCAAGAATCAATACACATTACAAAATATCCGTACTCGTCCGCCATGTTGAAYTGAGCAGCCAGGCCTTCTGTGCAGATGTCCTTTGTGGATTCCATATATGGAATCTGCAAATATACTTGAAAATGATAACTTGCCAATGCTAATATTTTATGGTGTTCATGACATATGTTTTCTGCTTTATTGCAGTAAGCATTTTATAAATCTTAGCACAAAATATTGAAAWATTTCAAAACAAACTGCGAAATCAGTGATTGGTCACGTGACAAATTTGACTGACGAAAGCGGCGCGAGATAAATTTTGACTTGAAGAAGAACCGAAAATGTCGCTGTTCAAAGCCAGAGATTGGTGGGCTACTTACTGTGGAAACGAGGAGGAATTCGATGCTGGATGTATATCAKTATCTAACATAGATAATAATGCTACTCCCTCAGGTAAATATGCGATCTTATTCTTTTATTATTGTCAAGAAGTGCCTTGACCATTCTATCTTCAATCGTGCATCGTCGAAGCTGAGAGCGTTCCTTTCGCTGTCATGTGTCTTGGTTTTGTTTTCTTGACTTCACAATAATGTATTTTTCTGTTTGATATAACATTTTCATTCAAGCTTCTTTTAATCAGTGAGCTCTCCGAGCTCTGTTAAAATATTTCGACTTTTCAGTTCAATCTCCTACGGCCATCGCGTATTTTGCTTGATCCGTCGTCAAGGTCACCGATGTGTATTCCTGGTCTTTGTTGATATTTCTATTTATAAGATTACTGAAGTTAAATAAAGCATCGAAATAAAAGAAAAGTCTATGCCTTTAAAGGTTGTTGTGGAGTCGTTGTATTCTTGTTAAGCTTAAATTTGTGTTACGTCGTCTCCCATTCACTCTCGGAGGTGTTTACCTTAAATATCACTGCTTTTTSTTTTTACATATAATAGATAAAATAGTTGTGGGAAGTTATCATGGAATACTTAGAATTTTTCATCCAAGAACACCGGGATTTAAGGCTGAAGATCTTATGTTAGAAATGCAACTGCAGCAGCCAATTTTACAAGTTGAATCGGGAAAATTCGTATCGTGAGTATGGAGTTGTGATCTTTAAATAATGTGTTATAAGCTCTTTAAATATCAGGTGTTACTTTTTTACAARAGACAAATTAGATGTGATTAAATGAGCCCTTAGTATCTTTAGAACTACTGGCTCAATATTATTCGATTATTTTTGTATTTTCMCATATTTTTCTTTTCTTCTATTACATAACATCCATTCATTATGTGAAAGATTTCCTTCCTTTGTTTACAGAAGCTCTGACAAGATCCAATTAGCAATCCTGCATCCAAGAAAGCTAGCTATCTATAATATTTCTTGTAAGTATTTTTGCTCAGAGTCCAGAATTTTACTTGCAATAGAATGACCAGAGTGTATTTTGAGCATCCTGTGCGCTGCTCTCATTGCAATGATAACATTTTTCATGTTACCAGGGACAGACGTCCTYGTTGGCAGCAAAGTATTATCATTGCTCTGTCAATTTATTATATCACTTGGTCTCTCAAACTGATTCTAATATCACTTTTCGAGGGGAAATGATTTGTTGACCAGTTTCTTTATAATGTAATGCTTTGTCCTTGTACAAAATGTTCTTAATTCTTGTTTTGTATGTTAGCTGTCTCAGGAGCTGTAGAACATGGAAATCATTATTCTCTTAACTTGGTTTATGAGCATATTTTGGAACGAAGTGCATTTAATATGACTTTTGGTCCATTTGGAAGAGTTAAAGGTAAATAGGAATGAAATAGTTAAGGAAAATAATGCAAAAATAATGCAAACATTGAAATAGTTTTCCCTGACAAGATGTACTTGTAAGTATGTCCAATTTTTCCCTTGCAGTTTTTATTTCTTCAGAACATTGATCAAAGATTTGATAATTATCAAATTACAAACAAACATTTAGCAAAAATATAACTCTTTGAAGTGATAATTGCATGTACAATGTAGATGTTTGTAAAATAGTTTAAAATTATTTTGTTTCCATAATTGGCAAATGTTCCAGTTTTATGTTTTACATCATCCGATGATGTATAGTGCATTGGTTTGTGACAATAATGGGGTCAGAAGTTGAATTTGGCCAGTTATGTTTTGGTCATTGAAAACCATGGAAAAGTGATGGAAAAAGTTGTGGAATTTGATAGATAGATAAGAYTTTGAACCCATGGGACAAATTTTCTTTCTCACTCAGTTTTATAATAAAAATCAAGCAGAAACTAAAGATATTAATGTTTGTTTATTTATAATTTTAGGAAGAGACTTCATATGTGTCCAATCAATGGATGGCATGCTATCCTTTTTTGAACAAGAAAGCTTTGCTTTTAGTAGATTTATTCCTAACTTTCTTCTACCTGGACCAATGACTTATGTCATGGAGACAGATTCATTTATTTTATGTGCTTCATCTAGACAGGTTGAAGCTTACAAGTAAGTACTTTAAATGGAAACCCTGTAGCTTTTGATATATTATTGGCTATTATAATACAGCAGAAACTGTTGCGACTTTGAAGTTCAAAAGAAATCATGGAATTTTGGATTTTTCTGCAACTTCAAAACAGAGCTTACTGCAAATCAACCACTGATGATATATGTTATTCATGAGGGTTTYTTTTGAAATTATAGATATCAGACACTTGCTGTTGCAACAGATGCCAGTAACAAAGAAGATATTGGTAACAAAAAGATATCTGGCAAAAAATTAACGGTATGTATATACATTTACCTGGAATGTAAAAGCTAATATTGCCATATCAGTTAGTTGTCAAACATGATATCTTAAAATATCAAGTTTATCTGATCAAAGTATTTTTTAGTATCTATTCAAATTTTTTGCATGTTCATGTAAATCTAGTTGACTGTGCATGTAACTCTGAATCTGAACTTATGCCCCAAAATACCTCACATTCCTGTTGCTGCCTGTGATTTTCAAAAACGCTTTTAACTGGGCTTTAATTTACAAACTACTGTATCATAATTATCAGGTTGATTGGTCAACAAATATTGGGGAAAATACTCTGGATGTTCAAGTATTCACAAGTCAAAACACCCCATTATCTATTGTTATTTTAGGTAAAATGAACAAATATTATCATGTTAAATAAATATTTATATTTCATTATGAGTTTCATCATGTTTGGATGATGTTTCATAAACCAGGGATTCTGGAATTATGCGCGAAAAAAATCAAAATTATGTGGGATTATGCGCGAAATTATGCGCGATGACGTCATCGCTTAAAACCTAAAATATGACAAATTCGGATTAGGAAACTCAGTTATTTTGTTTCGTTTTTATAAAAGAATGTAATATTAATCATTATAGATACATGATCTTTTCCATTTAAACATAAGTATATGGCCAAAAGAGAGAACAATTCTTGTAAACGTCCGCCATCTTGGAAACCGCCAATGGCTCTGGAACCTGGGCCAAGCCACAGGAAACCCATCACTAAATGAATGTCATAAAAACAAAATGGCGTCGCGCGCACGTATGGCGTTGTTTTGTTAAAAAATGATACTTTAGTACTTTGTATGACGATAAAAAAGGGAGAAAAACAATACTCAAGCCAGACGCAAGATAGATAACATATATATTGATTTTTTGACAAATTATGCGGGATTATGCGGAGAATGGCCCATTRTGCSGGTCCGCATCAGCGYATAATTCCAGAATCCCTGATAAACACATGCACCACAGCCTGTTGTGGCAAACCATCTCAACCTACTCTAGAGGAGACTGGTGTCAGCCTATTTAAGATTATGATGATGATGATGATGATGATGATGATGATAATGATGATGATGATGATGATAATGATTAACTCATGAAATTATCACAGTTTACAGAAAGATAATTATATGATGAATCCTTTAAATATTTATTTCAGGGGAAAGATCAATATTTTGCTTAAGAGATGATGGTACAATAAGGTTTATGAAAAAGCTGGAATATAATCCTAGCTCATTGGCTGTCTACCACTCTGGTATGAAATTTTTAAAAGACTTTCAATTAGTGTACAAGTAGAACTTGAGATACAGAAATTTATGTCAGTACCACATTACTTATTACATGTAC